TACAATTGTAAAGACAAAATTAGTACTATTATTTTTAATTATCATCATTAATAATAAATGAACTACAAATAATTTGACAGCTTTGGGACAAAAATTATTATTTCGATTGCTCTTGCGCTCTCTTATCAGCAGTTGAAACGTGAGCTGCACATGAGGACATAGGCACATCTCATAGCAAATTAGTTTGCAACTTTGTTGCATAAAAATAAAAGGTTAAATAACAAAACAAGATTTAATTAACACACAGGTTAAATAAAACGATTTTTAAAAATTAAACAACTGAAAAAGAAAATTAATGAACTCTGTAACCAGCTCAAATGTTCTGGAATAAAACGTGTTGCTGTAATTTAATAAACAAACATTGGTCATTTAAGACTTCTTTATAACAGCACTCCCGCAAGATTCTCTCTTGTGTTATATAGTATTGTGTTAGATATTAACAAATACTACAAATGTTTTGTTTTCTTTTGTGATGATAAGAGCTGAAGGCATGCGCTCAACTGAACAAAAACATGGAAAGCATCACTGCATAGAAAGTCACGTACAGGCGGCACGTACTGTACAACCCTGTCCCACAACACAGTTGCATCGAGTCTTGTTTAAAATAATTTCGGTCTCAGCAGCTCCTATTTAGATGTAAGAGCGCTGTGATTTGCATTGGCTTGAATTATTTTCCAAGATCAAACGTAATGCAAATGCAGTAGGTTATTAAATGAGATAAAAATCAGCCAAAAGTTTATTTAAATATGTTTAAATATGGTTAAATATAATAATAATAAATTATATATAACTTAACATAACACTGGCGACGCCCCTTGTGATAGTATATCGTGATCGACGATCTCACAGTGGGACGAAATGGCGATCTAAAATTTTCATATGTCGACTAACACTACTGTGTTCATGCTGTTTTTTACGTACATTTTTTAAATAAATTCTTTAACTTTTATACATCACTCTTTCTATTCTCCTAAGAACGTTTGAGAGAAGCTGGTTCTATGAAGCCTCTCCCTCAGAAGTACACAATGGGCTCTGATTGGTCACCTGGCCCATGTGTTCTTATTGGCTAAAATATTGAAGATATTTTGCATTGTCTTGTTCGACTTGCTCAAAAATCTAAATAAAAGCCTCTCATAAACTGTGCAAGCTGGTGATGTATAGTATTTCATGCGCCAGTCAGCCAGCAGTGTTGGAGATGAATGAGAATTGGCACTGCTCTCCTCCTCGAGTCAAAGACAGAATGTTATTTTCCATTTCCTAAATTTGTTCTTTAATTCCTTGGTGTCTATTGTAAGCTTTCTGCTTTTTTATGGGAGGGGTAGTACTGTAAGTGTATTGTTTGTATAACAGCCGTGGGAATAAGATACTGTGAAAAGTGATTTATTTTCTCCTCAACTTGGAAAGCCCCTTACAAAAGACAAACTGAAAGGGTCCTGTCCCAGTTCCTCTCTACAACATCCAAACATTTCATAGCGTCTGTATTTGGGGTCAATAAACAAAAATAACAGTCTTAGTTGTACTGAGATCACTATTTATTTGTTGATCAATCTCCATTAATGGAAATCTTTTCTTCATATTAAAGTAATGGTGTTAGTCCATAATTCAATAATGATTTTGAGGATAATGAGTCAAAGATGCCTTCTCTAATTATTTTATTATTACAGTAGGAATTACTATACTATACTTATATTATACTCATTATTAAGTATGATTTCACAGTTCTTAAGGCTTTTATAAATGAGACCAAACCAAATTATGATGATAAAAATGAAAAAACCTTGAAGTATATATATTTTTGTCCATTTCAATGGACATCTGGTCAGAACAGTTGTATTTCCTGAACATTATACCAACATAAAATACAAAAAAAAAACATACATGATTGCTGATATAATCTTGAAATTTACTTTCAAAATCAAGAACATTAACATTGTAACATTTTTACTTTTTAATTTTGAGGTTTTGTTGTATAGATTGCACATTGTTTATAAGAAAATCTTCATCTTCCTCATCACTCTACATAATGTCCACATCCGAAATATTTCCATCTGTTATGCTCAAGAACTTCTAGATCTGTATTTTCTGCATATGAAATGGTTTCAGCAATGTATTAGTACATCGACAAAGTTTTTTTTATATAAATAAAAAAAGTTCAATCAGCAACACTAGAAATTTAATTTCAGTAACAGATCTTGAACCAATGTCCATCGTAATGGACAGACATGTTTGAAAAAGTCCTGATCTAAAGCTTTTAATGTTAAAAAAGATTATAAACTTTAATTACTAAGTGCAATCCCTATTTTTTTTTTTACATACAGTCTATGAAATATTTGCAAACGTATTAAAAAATCTGAATGAAAACATTGTAAATGTGGCTTACATCTGTGTCTGGAGAAATGCCATGCTGCTTGTCAGTGTAGTGGATTTTGTTCAAATTACACTATGCCGAGTCTTACTACCATTTGATTGAATGACAGTCGTCCATTCTCATGGACTGCAGGCTTTAAATTAGATGAAATGCTCAGGAACCACAAGAAACATGGGCTGACATGTGATGTCCATTGTAATGGAGACAGCGTCCGAACTATGATTATTATGTGAATATATAAAACTCACACAAAACATGTATATTTGTCATCATTTCCTCACCCTCAAGTCACTCTCAAACTTGTTTGACTTGCTCTTTTGCTGAACACACACACACACAAAAAAACTTTTGCCAATACTGTATGTGATTCCATAAAACATTTGACCTTCATGAAAGCTTTCCATTACGTTGAAAGTGAAAAAAGTAGGTCCTAGTCTTAGGTGTTTCTGATTCTGACAGGTTCTGTCCTAGTTCCTCTCTGCAACAGCTGAATACTTCACAGCGCCTGCATCCGGGGTCAAAAAAGAGCATTTCTCACTCATTTGTTTTGTGGGCTGTATGCTAATGTTTAGCTGCTGTCCTCATTAAAATCTATTATTGTGATAACACTAATGAGATGCTAAACTGTGCTTGGCAGCAGTCCTGCCTGCGCGCTCACACTCCTTCAGTGTAAATTATGCTTATCGGCCTTACAAATATGGAAAAGCTATTCATAACCTAATTGCCCTGGATCGAAGGGAATATGAGAAACGTTTTTGACAAGAGGTGTCCTGGTGAGTTGCAGTACCATTTTGGATAATTCAAAGTTCCTAAGAGTTCCCAACTGAGATTTTTCATCAGACTGACCCTGCAGATCTTCAATAACACAACACATTACTTTTCATTGCCCAAATTAAAAGAATGTCTTTAAAGTTTAAACTTTAATTGTATTTAAAGAAAAAATAAATCTAATTAAATATTGAATAAATATAAATATTTTATAGGCCTCCTCCTAGTGGGACATGCCTGAAACACCTCCATATGTAGGCGTCCAGGAGGCATCCGAAACAGATGCTTGAGCCACCTCAGCTGACTTCTCTCAATGTGGAGGAGCAGCGGCTTTACTCCGAGTTCCTCACCCTATCTAAAAGAGTGCGCCCTGCCACCCTGGGAAGAAAACTAATTTTTGCCGCTTGTGTCCAAGATCTGGTCCTTTTCGTCATGACACTAAGCTCATGACCATAGGTGAGAGTAGGAACGTAGATCGGTCGATAAATCGAGAGTTTTGCCTTTCGGCTCTGCTCCTTTACCATAACGGACTGGTATATCAACCGCATTACTGCTGCCGCTGCACCAATCCGCCTGTCAATCTCATGTTCCATCCTTCCCTTACTCATAAACAAAACCGCAAAATACTTGATCTCCTCCACCTTGGTTAAGCACTCTCCTCCAACCTGGAGATGGAAAACCACCTTTTTCTAGTGGAGCACCATGGCCTCGGACTCGGACGAAGTGTTATTTTCATCCCAGCCGCATCACATTCTGCAGGAAACCGCCCCAGTGCGGTAAAAATTATGAACAGAATTGGTGACAAATGAACCTTGAATTTCCATTTCAATTTGAAATATTATGATTAACTATTTACAGTGCACTCCTTAAATAACATTTTGGCCCAAATCTTGGATTGAATAATATACTATACTTTAATATACACAACTCTGATAGTTATAAGCAATTAAAATAATAATGATAACTTATAAATAAAAGGTCAACCAGGTGGTTATGATGCCTGATAAAGGGTTCATTTCTATTTATATACAAATAGGCACTTTAAATACAGTAAAACACTATAATAATAATAACTATGATAGGCTTAGATTGACAGATCTTTTTCATACAACAGCAATTTGTATTAAATGTGGTATGAAAAAAGAACCATGTTGTTAATGTGTGACCCTCAAAAGTGTCATTTTGATTTATATATACAATACATCAACTGAAAGCTGAATTAATAATCTTTCAGTTGATGTATGGCTTGTTAGGATATGACAATATTCAGCCACGATATAACTGTTACAATATCTGGAATCTGAGGCTTAAAAAAATCTAAATATTGAGAAAATCACCTTTAAATTTGTATGTATGAATTGCACACTACTAATCAAAATTAGTATGATTTATTTAAAGTCAGAACTTTACTAAATATCTTCATGAAATATGATCTTTATTAATATAGTGTTTTTTGCAAAAAGTAAAAATCAATGATTTTAATTCGCACAATGTATTTACTTAACATATCACACATGTCTGCTATATTAGAGTGTAAACAAAGACCAAAATCTAAATTGTTATTCACTGATAATCTTTTCACCACAACTCCAATATTGATTTCAGCCCCAGACCCTAGATGTACAAAACCTACAGGCATGTCAGACACAGACCGCTATTAAAATCACCATGTTCATTTATATTCAAGCTCGGCTGTTAATATTTGATGCCTTAATTTGTCTTTGACCAGTGTAATTCACAACATGATGAATGAAATCATTTGGTTTTATTAAAGCTGAGATCAGTACTGAGGTCATACTGTGTTGCACACATTAACCACAGAAGAGCATCGTGTTGACGGCTGGTCTTTGTGTTTTTGGGGCAGGTACATTCGTCTCGGCCTTCACGGTTCTGTGCGGTGCAAGGACAGATTTGCCCGACAGGCACATGTGTTGCGTCTTCTGGCTCAACATCGCAGCCGCCTTCATTCAGATCGTCACTGCTGTAGTCATGGTGGGCTGGATCATGAGCATATTTTGGGGAATGGATATGGTCATTCTCGCAAGTGAGTATTCTGAAATAATGTCTTTAGAATTCATTTTGCATTTGAACAGTTCAGATGCAAAAACCTCTAAATGCCATCTAAAATTTTCTTATTCAGTAGTTTCACATTTATGGCAAAGAATAAGTTATTGTCATGGTCTTTAAGGTGAAATTATTTAACATAAACAAAAGATGGAAATTTGGGATTTCATTGGAAGTTTTAGATGGCACTTTTCTTGAATCTTGAATTTTTTTAATCTGAACTCTTCATTTATTTGATTCATTTATTTGATTATTTTGATTATAACAGCATTGCCTCCCTTCCAATTCTATAGAACTTTGTTCCAAAATCATTGAACACATTTCCATTGAACACAAAAGTATGGACCACTTTGAGATTTTAAATAAAAATATATTTAGTTTTGATTTATTGAGTTTATAATATTCATCTGTATTTCATGGATTTATGATAGCAACATCTAATTTTGGTAACTACCGCTGTTGGGGAGGGGAGGGGAAAGGGAGTGTTAAAAGGATGTAAAAACAGATACATTTATTAGAATAATATTTTAGTCACAGAACATGTTTAGAAATGAAAAGATAATACATTAAAATATATGCAAAATATTGCAAAAAAAAAATACAAACTACAAAATTTTTTTTAACAATAGTATATCAATTTTGTTTCTCTTGATTTTTGCTATTTCTGAAAATTTTATTTAGTATTTTTCCCTAGCATAAATTTGGGCTACTAAATTTTAGAACCCTTATCATAAGTTATTTTGCTAGACAAGCGCCAGTGTTGGCTTCAGTACTGTCTAAACTAATGTATATGCTCAAATATATTGTTGTAAAGAATCCTATGAGAAATTTGAATTCAAATGAGAGATTTGTGGAGGGTGTATTCAGATTTAAATTTTTTTTTTTTTATTATTTAAGTTGGATTTATTTTTTTAAGAACGTACAATGAAAGTCAGTGGTGTCAAGCAGGGTTGGACTTAGTGATTTGGGAGGCCCTAGCGTTAAAACTCAAAACTGTAGATTCTGGGTTTTTTGTAAATAAACGGCAAGTAAAAAAATATTTTTAGTGGAACCTGCTTAATGTAAGATTTAATACAATAACTTCACAAACAAAAACAAGTTCATCTACTAAGTACAGTTAATCAGCCATATTTGTCATTTTATATTTTAATATTTGCATGTGCAGTGCAGAAGGAACGCTCCACAATTCATAGGGGCCCCTATGAATTATGTTAACGTTAAAACCATATTTGTTATAGATTTAACAACATATGATAGAGAATGTATAAAAGAGCTATATATAATACTAAAATATGATTTCTTCAAAATTGTTGCAAATAATTTTTGTTTTGAATTTAAACAAACAAATTTAATTTTGTTATGTTTAACTTAATTTATTTGTTTAAATTCAGCCCAAATAAATTGTTTACAACCACTTTACTTAAAAAGTAGTAAATCCAAAGACTCTTTGAATATTTTTTTTTTAGTTTAAGCAGCTGCTTACCTCGCTTATTGGTTAAGTCCGCCCCTGGTGTCTATTGTTTTTTTTACAATCAGTTGCCTTTAGCCCTTTTTTCCCCACATGCATTTTCAGTGATCTGCTCACAAGTGGTTATTTAAGATGCTTTATCATTTCCACTTGATGTTAAAGGGATAGTTCACTCCAAAATTCGAAAATTTGTTTTAAACCCTTTGAGTTTCTTTATTCTGTTTAACACAAATAAAGATCTACTGTAGAATCTTTTCTTTAGCCAGTCTTCCATTGTATTTTTTGTTCCAACATTCTTCAGAAGACCTTTTTTTTGTTCAACAGAAACTACTTGTGTGAATAAATGAACAGAACAATTTCATTTTTATGCAAACTATGCCTTTAATGGCAAGGAAATCTTCTTAAATATGAGGTGTTTCTTTAGCGAATATACAATTTCACATACAAAACGACTCGTGCTCGCCCTGTTTTTACATGGGTGTCCTCCAGGTGCTCCGGTTTCCCCCACTGTCCAAAAACATGCACTATAGGTGAATTGGATTAACTAAATTTGCTGTACTGTAAGAGTGTATGTGTGTGAATGTAAGAATGTATGGGTGTTTCCCAGTACGGTTTTGTGGCTAGAAGGGCATACGCTGTGAAAAACATATGCCAGAAAAATTTGTTATTTAATTCCACTGTGGCGACCCCTGATAGTTAAGGGAATAAGTCAAAGTAAAATGAATGAATGACATTTAACAAAATACAGTAAGTTATTATTATTGCACCTGACCACAAAAGGGTTTACAGTACATATGCAGTCCAACCAAATGGGTTTTTAACTACCTTTGGAAGAAATCAAAAGTGGGCAATTTCAAAACATTTTAGACTTTACTCTCTCTATTTAGCAACATCCACTTGTGTTTAGATTGATAGAAGCATGCATTTCTTATTACCAGGTGTTATATGGACAAAACAGTTCAAATCTTCTTTGGTGCTCAGCAGACGAACGTCGGGCACACTGGATTTAAAAACGACATGAGTAAACGACAACAGATTTGCCATGTTTTTCTGAACTGCCCCTTTGACTTGCATAGTAAGTGTAAGAGAAGATGACAGGATTTCAGCAGTCTGTGGGCCACAGTCAAACGGCTCGGTTCATGTACAACCTCACGTCTTTCTCGCTTCCTTTGAATATCATCTCCGCCTTGCGGGGCTGTAGAAGGTGCCAGAATGCTTTGAACAATGACTATTAGAGCGGTCTGTTGGTAGGAGTGGATCTGAACGCTGCAGTAATTGTTCTGTGTAGGCGGACGAAACAACTCGCAGAACTTTGTCACGTTTTCCCCGTGTATTATTGACTGTTATTAAACATTTTAAGCCCATTTGATTTGAACTATTGAACATTTAGGTTTTATTGTTGTTGAATGTTCTGATTTGAGATTGATTTGATTTTGCACACCTTTTTTGAGGGACAAATTTCTAATCTGTTATTCGTTTATTGTTTTTGCTGTTTGAACCACTTTTTGGATTGAAAGTCTCTGAAGGTAGGTGAATCTAATGTTGGACCTTTGTCATAACTAATACTCAGACCTGTCTCAAAAAGAACACTTTTAACATTTCAGAAAAGCACGTAAACTTTGTCCACATTCATACTGCAAATACACAGCAAAAAAAAAAAAAAGCTATAAACAATGGGGTTTTTATGCCTCAAGATCAGCCAGGGGTGTTAGGTTTTTAACATGCATTTAATAATTACACAACTAACCTTATACAATGCTGATAAATAAGTATATTTATTATTATATAATATTATTATTATATAAGTATATTATACTCTTTATATTTTTAATTTACACATCAATCCCATGTTTATTGTTTATCTGAGAAATATAAATATCATTACTGTTAAATCTGTAATCACTAAATTAAATTAAAAAAACTAATTAAAAATCTAAATAAGAGCTTGAAAATCAGAATTAAAACAGGACCATAATGCATCCTTAAAAATAATCTCAATTATTTACATTTTTAATTCTTCTTTTACTTTTTTGTTCACCTGCACTACTGATCAAAAATTTGGAGTCAGTAGGATTTTAAATGTTTTAAAATAGGCTTATCCTGCTTAACAAGTACAGTACAAATTGTAAAATTGTGAAATGTTGCATTATAAACTACAAAATTAGTTTATAATTTAACTGAATAATTTATTCCTGTGATTTTTTAGATTAATTTTTAGCTTCATTACTCTAGTCTTCAGAGTCACATGATCCTTTAGAAATTATATTAATTATTATTATATTATTATTCTTATTAGTAGTAGTAGTATTAATAATAATAATAACAATAATAATAATAATGATGATGGCAATCGTAATTATAAGCAATAATGACTGAAGTAATTTCATTTGAATTGACAAAGTAATAAATATTAACTAAAGTATTTAACAATTTAACTTTTTTTTTACATTTAATAAATGAACAGATGAACAATAATTTTATTAAAACTATTAAAAAAAATTACTAATAATAAAAAAGTGACCCCAAACTTTTGACTGTGTACATCAATCAGTTTTAACAAAATTAAAAATGTGTATGTTATTTTATGATGAAATAAAATAACATACATTAATTTTATTATTAAATTGTTTATATATTTTTAATATTTTAATTTTTATATTGAAAAGTTTTATATATACGATTTATTCTGATATTCCTTTATTCACACTTTATTTTGCACTGACTCTCTCGTTTTCCTGGATCTTGGTTATATCTGTATATTAATTTCTACTCAAAAATGATAAATGTAAATTATAAATTATGTACAATTCCAAATTTAAATTTCATTAAATGGGATCAGGGTGGGGCCAAGCTGGAGCACTCACTCTGATCCCCGGGCTCTGCAATGGTTTTGGAAATTCCAAATTGGACCAAAAGACAAACAATTACAATTGGCTTAAGATTGGCAATGAAAATTTGGGGAAATGCATCAACCAGTAGAACCTAGGGGAAAAATACATTAAATGGTTAATAAAATGTTGCATGAGCTCATTTGATAAACAAAACAATACTATGTTGGATATATTTGTTCACTGACCAAAACAAGATAATTTTGTATATATTTATTCCCAAATTCTATATTCTGACTACTGATTGTATGTAAATGGAGGTTTGGGATCTGATTTAATGTACCCATATCTATCTAAAATAATATACAGAAGTGTAGCTGTATATTTCTGATTATTTCATCACTTAAAACTAATATTTACAGTTCATTTAATGAATAAAAATAGCATTAGTATAAAATCTATAATCACTAAATTAAATGAAAAACTTAATCAGGAGTGTATTAAAAATAAACATAAAATAAGAGCTTACAAATTAGAACTGAAACAGATCAATACCTAGCCTTAAAAATAACGTCAAATATAAATGTTTAACAAAATGTAGCTTTTTGCATCGTGCGTTTAAATATGATTGTCAAAAATTTGCAGTGTGTATGTGACCAAATTGAAATAGCTCACAAACACACACAAGCTCTCCAAATACAATGTAAAACATGTCTTCTAAATAGCATAAGACAATGATATGTTTGATACAGGTCTGCCGTCTTCACAGTTTGGCCACTCATTTCAGCCCATTATCACTACGCATGCTGTAAGCTCGGCTTCTCCCATTCTGTTTATTCTGATCCATCTCGGATAATGTGCCTCCCACCACCTGCCATCTGTCTGTCTCCTCTCAGCCTGTTTGATCCACTTTTTGTCCATTTAAATGCCAGTAGAAGCACAGCACTCATTAGAAAAGACGCTCCGCAAAAGTGAGACTTCACAGAGAGTCTGCTACGATGCACCGCTATAACTCCTTCAAAGTGCAGACCCACGCTGAGCCCTTTAAAAACACCGCAAAGCAGACTTGCCTTTGTGCTACACAGGCTTGGCCGTTTAAAGTAATAGTTCATGCTAAAAACCTAATTCTAGTCATTTGCAGCTGCATGATTTCCGGTGAAAGGTTGTTTTTGAAAAATATTGTGGTCATAGGATGTAATGAGCAATAGGGCTAATATAATGACATTAAATGGCATACGGTGCTCAGCATAAATGAGAATTAATATTATTATCCATTTATCAGTGAATATAGATAATATATTTTGGTGCATGTAAACAAAACTGATTTATTCAACAGATATATTTGTTAAGATAATATTTCAGTCACCGAACATCTTTAGAAATAGAAAGATAATAGATTTGAACTCATGCAAAAAATTACAAATAGCAAACTTTTATATATATATTTTTTTGTTTCTTTTAATTTTTGCTTATTTTAAAAATGTTTGTTTAATATTTTTCCTGACATAAAAATTTGGGCTACAAATTTTTGGACCGATATTCTACGTTTTTTTTTTTTTATTATTATTGATTAGCTTCAGATTTGGATTAATCTAATGTATGCACAAATAAAATATTGTAAATCATCCTTAATATAATATTAATTTAAATGAGAGATTTATAAAAGGGTTTACTTATATATTCTGAGCCCTATTTGATACATGTAGATCATATCTGAAGGCATAACAGAAGTTTAAAGTCTTGTAATTTTAGATTCACTTCAAAAATAAAAATATAAATTTAGTTAAAAGCACTGTGTGCTTGTTTCTTGTTGTAAATTTAATCTGATAAATTGTCTTATGTTTCAAATTCAGCATAATAAATAATATATTTGTTTAAAACTAGATTATTTTTAGATTTTTTTTATATAATCTAAACAAATTGCTCTACCTTGAACGTCAGTAAATTATCAATATTATCATATATGAAATGTCTATTTGTCAATATTTTCCTTTATTCCTCCTTTCCTCGTGTTAAATAAATTATTTTTGTGCAAACGTATACTTACTTTAACACATTTTATGGCAGATATACAGTGTGGTTGTGTAATTATTTGCCAAATGATGTTTAACAGTATTTTAACAGTATGTCTAATAATATTTTTTCTTCTGGAGAAAGTTGTTTTATTTCAGCTAGAATAAAAGCGTTTTTAATTTTTTTATAAAACACTTTAAGGTAAAAATGATTATCATTGTTATTAGTACTATTATTATTATTAATGGTAATAGTAATAAAAGCAATAATAACTGGAGTAATAATGTATTTGAAACTACATACAATAAGAAAGCAGTTATTTAATGTTTATAAATATTTAACAATTTTACATTTAAATAAATGCCGCCTTGATGAACAGAATTTTTTTTTTTTAAATAACATGGAAAAAGCAGACCCCAAAGTGTCAGTAGTGTATATGTAAATATATTTATTTTATATCTATTTGTGTTTCATGTACAGTATGTGTGTATCTATAAATAAACACATATAATTGTTTGACATCATAGTGCAAAATAAAATTAATTTTAAAATACAGAAAAAATATATAAATACCTTTAAAATCACAGTTACGTTCAGTTTGTGATTTGTGCATTTTATGTTTATTTATGTATTGTTTTGGATATTCAGCATCCGAAGTTGTCAATCAGTTTTTGTAAACTAAACCTGAAGAGATCTGAATTAAAACAAAAAATCATTCAAGAGTTTTATGATATATTAATGATGCTATTTATAGTAGTTCTTAAGCTTTTCAGTATGGATTCATTTTTACAATTCTTAAAAATGACCATGATATTCAACAAGGATAAATCCAGCAGGTTTTAACACCGTGAATACCAACAATTATATAGCTGTTCGTTTATTCCTGCAACAACCACACTGAATATCTGCCGTAAAGTGTGCAGCAAAGATTACTAAATGGCTTGCATGTAAAAAGAATTGGCTTGTTGTTTCATGCTTGGGTCTTGATCTACTGAAAGCTTTAATGCACTGAGTCATCTGCATTTAAACCTGTTATAATGCAAAGCTTTAAGGAAGCTATGAGTCATTACTCCATTCCCATTCTAAATCGCATTATAAATACTGGAAGATAGAGCAAGAACCCGTGATATGCAAGTGCAGAGATAAGACTGCAGCTCCAGCTCAACTAGTGCTATAAAACCAGGCATTTTCTATAAGATGTGTGTGAAAAGCAAAGTGATTCACTCCTCCAGACGAATGATTGATGTAAACGCCATCAAACATTGTTTGCGATGGGCTGTTTTTGAAATATTGAGGTATAATAAGATTTTATTTTATACCTTCTATTGGCTTTATGTAAGGGAAAACATGCAACAGTGTATTATACATTTAATGTGTGTTTAGCAATCTGTTCTGTTGTTATAATACAGTGAAAAAGTCTTCAAAATGACAAGTCACAATATCAAGTCAGAAACAACACAAAATGTAAATATTATTTACTTAAAACCAAATTCACTTCATTACTTTAATCAAGTGTCATATGAGATGATTCAGTAGTCATGCTGAATCGGTGAAAGCAGTTAAATCTTCTGTTTATAATGAAAAGCTATGGGGATTTCATGGGTTTCTTCTTCATGGGTGTTTGGAGTTTCTGCACGAGAGCACCCTCTAGCCCTCAGAGAAGATTTACTACAGTCTACATCGCAGGTGTCAAACTCAGTTCCAAAAGCTCTGCACAGTTTAGTTCCAACCCTAATTAAACACACCTGATCAAACTAATTGAGTCCTTCAGGCTTGTTTGAAACCTACAGGTAAGTGTGTTGGAGCAGGGTTGGAACTAAACTGTGCAGGGCTTCGGCCCTCCAGGAATTGAGTTTGACACCCCTGGTCTACATCATGCTTCTCTGACAAGATGTCCATGATAATTTCAGATTTACTCAGTCATGTTTGAGATTGTATTACTATTAATCTCCCCAATGCATTATTATTAAAGGTCCCATGAAAAGCTTTGAAATGTGCATTTTTATTTGATGACGTAATCTCAACCAAAACATGAAGAGAGGGAGGGACATGGTAGAGCCCTCCCCTTAAAAAACTAAAAATCAAATCAAACTTTTTTAAAAAATTTGATTTATCACAGAGCTCAAGCACATCAATTGAAAAGAGTCTTGATGGGGACGGGGCATGTCAGACACTAGAGCGCATTTGATTGGTAAAGTTTGATGAGAACAAAACGTGATCCATTTAGACCAGGGGTGTCAAACTCAATTCCTGGAGGGCTGAGGCCCTGCACAGTTTAGTTCCAACCCTGCTCCAACACACCCTGAAGAACTCAGTTAGTTTGATCAGGTGTGTTTAATTAGGGTTGGAACTAAACTGTGCAGAGCTGCGGCCCTTTTGGAACTGAGTTTAACACCTGTGATTTAGACGGACTAAAGCTTTACATGATTGTATCGGTTTTATATCTTTTAAATGCAAATTTTGTCACCGTTTTGGTGCACATTAGCTAATATACTGATACAATACTGATACTATCATATAAAAAACTTTCTTTTGGACCTTTAAGTATACCCTTGTAATGAGTAGTACAAACATGCTTTATAGAAAGACACAATTTGTTGGCGTAAGTAAATTTAAAACCTTTACATTTTCTTTTTGTGATCTCTGTTACTCTTGTTGTCTCAGGCTACAGGGAGCAGTCCGTCCCTCAACAGCTCTGATTCCTGTTCTCCAGACCTAATGTTGAATGTGCAGCTTTCTCTTGTGCTGTCTGTCTGTCTGTCTGGGGCTTTGAGATGGAACCCTTGAGGCCTGGAGATTCAGAGGTCGATTACATGCCGATTCTCAGCCAAACTCCTTCTAGTCCTGTCAGGTACTACATTCAGAAGACCTGACTGTCGAGGGTCAGCAGAAAAATACGAACATTCTGTTAATATCACAAAAATCGCGAACGTTTTTGTGCCGAACACATTCTATGTCAAGGAAATTCAGTAGTCTTAATGTATGTATTATATTGACCAATATACAGTATGAGCATTTTCAGTTTGTAAAAATACATTTATAAACGAGCTTTGGGGTGAATGAAGTAGCTGAAAGAATCTTAAAGGAACAGTTCACCCTATAAAGAACACTACCTGTCTTCATTTACACACACTTCATGTACAATACATATTGGGTGGACTGTCCCTTTAATATTTTGCGTCACACTGAACATTATAAATACATATTTTCATCTTGGTATTATAAGGTTTGTCAAAATGTTTTTAGTCACTTATTCTGACAACTTATTTACTAAATTCTTTTAGGTTCAGTACATTTCTTATTAAGAAAACTAATAGATTATTTCTACAAATTTGAACTGTAACTTGGTTTTATAAGGTTCTTTTTGTAGCCAGTCAGTGCTTTAAATGCAATTAAGGGGACCAATCGGGATCACCTCAGAAGCCAAGATGAGTAATTATACAATCATGTTTAAAGTCTTGCCACAGACTGAGAGTATCATAGTGTTGTGTTGAAAAATGAAAAAAACAATATGAGTAAATCTACATTTTCAACAGCTCCGCCTAATAAAATACGAGCCTATCAATGTGATAATTTAGACGCATTTTATGACATTAAGTCGGATGAAATGTTACATTTTTATTTAGTTCATTAAAATGTTAAAGGTAATTTAAATGTGACAGTTTGTTTTGTTATAATTATAATTTTGTTATAATTATTTAATTTTGTTATAATAATAGTTTTAATTCTTAAAATGTCTTTCATTTTATAACATTAATTCCTAAAGATTGTTAACTAATTATTGTAACTTAATTACAACATCATATATACTGTATATATACAGTAGGCATGATTTCAGTCATTCTGATCTCTAAATGGCAATTATACACATTATAATAATTGCTGCTAAGTTTACAGTATTGCTGGCAATTTTGGTTGTCGATATTACTGTAAAATGTACAAGTGCACAGTAAGTTAACAATTACAATTGTGCTATAAAACTACAGCAGAGTTGTACTTAATTTACAGTGCACAATTTTGCCAGTAATACACTAAACATTGCCAGTAATATTGTAAAATACTGTAAAATTTACATGCGCACTAAATTCCCAATTACAGATGTGGTGTAAAACTACAGCAGAGTTGTAATTGTTAATTTACAGTGTGCTTGTAAAGTTCGCCAGTAATACTGTTAACATTGCTAGTAATATTGTAAAATTTACAAGCACACTAAATGAACAATTACAATTGTGGTGTAAAACTACAGCAGTTGTAATTATTATGTACAGTGTGCTTGTTAATGTTGCCAGTAATACCGTAAACCTTGCCAGTAATACTATATTTACAAGCATACTGTAAATGAATGATTATTTGTCTTTTAATTAATTGTGCAAAGTTTTGCACCACAATTGTAACTGTTAATTTACCGTGCACTTGAAAATTTTACAGTATTACTGGCATCCAAAATTTCCAATCACACTGTAAATTGTACAGCAATTTACTCCAATAAAGTTTCTCCAATAATGTCTTTATTTACCCATATATACCTCAAATGAACATCTGCACCAGACAAACTAATTAGCACTGCCTTTTATGCATTAAAGTTTCAAACTTTCTTAAGTTCCAAAACTAATGTTTTACAGTTTTTCTCAATGGCTTTGGCACATTTTTCTCTAAACTGCGAGTGCAAATCTCAAAACTGTTTGCTAGAACTTCAGAAATGCAAAATAGTTACTCCCCCAAAACATTTAATTCATGCTTCAAAACCTAGCTATTAGTCTGTTAGTTAGTTTTAAGTGTAATGGCTTACATGATAAAACATGATTGAGAAGTTGTGAAGAGTTTGAAAGTCTAAATTACAATTGACTCATCAGTTTTGATCAACAAGCCATATGCAATTATTTTTTGTCCAAACTACAGACAATTGTACTGTACTTATTGTTTGCTCACATGTGCCAAAGCATTTGAAATGTGCTTAAATCAATAAGAAATGCCACTCTGAAATGAACAATAAGCTAATTGATTAGGTATGTAAACTTATTGTTTATTCATTCATTTTCTTTTTGGCTTAGGACCGCCAACTATATATATATATTGTATATATATTGTATATATTGTAATTATTAAAATTAAGCATTTTTTAATAATATATATATTATTATATATATATATATATATAATATTTGTTAAAAAATGCTTAATTTTAATAATTACAATTTAGCAAGATATAACTTTATTATACCAAACAGAAAGTGATTCTTTTTTTTTTGTTAAAAGGATGTACATGTAGTTTACATTTTAAAACGTTAACAAATTGAATAAATTTGAGAATATTTCTATGTTGATCAATGAAAGAGACGTGTTCTCCATATAATTTTTGCAATATCAAATGTTATGAAACTGTTCAGAATTCAGAGAGGACCTTATAATTCCAAGGTGACGATATTACACTGAATATTTATACGTCATGTGCATTACAGTGTCTACAGTATTTCATTATAGCGTGCCGTGTGTTTTTATTACTCGAATTAAGCCTTATTAAGTGTGATATTTATAGATTTGTTTTATGAAGCATCTACCTTCAGCACCTGTTATCTCTATTAGTCTTAAACACTCAGAGACCATCAGCCAGAAATATAACCTTTTTCTCCCGCAATTATCTGTTGTTAACTGAAACAGCCAAGTGTTGGTGAATCACGATGGTCTGATTATTGCCATAGTGACCGGCCACTTTAATCAACCCATGCGAAGGGTATGAAATAACATAATTATTTTTTATGCCACAGACTTTAGAGGAAAGCACGGTGCAAACTGAAGCGGTCAAAACACTGACATTGGAAAATTAACCACCAATTTGCAAATGGCTGCAGCGACTGAGCAAGCACAATTATTGTTATTATTACTGAGTGTGCTTGTGGTACATTTGCAAAATTCATCTGTCTAATAGGATGGACTCTGAGATGGTTTTTAATATTATTCACTCAGGGGAGTCTCAAATTTTGTTGAGTCTCTTTTCTGATATTGTTGATTTATACAGTTGAAGTCAGAATTAAGTCAGACTTAGCCCCCCTCAATTATTAGCCCCCCTGTTTTTTTCCCTAATTTCTGTTTAACGAAGAGAAGATTTTTTTTCAACACATTTCTAATCATAATAGTTTTAATAACTTATTCTAATAACTGATTTATTGTATCTTTGCCATGATGACAGTAAATAATATTTGACTAGATATTTTTCAAGACACTTCTATACAGCCTAAAGTGACATTTAAAGGCTTAACTGGGTTATTTGGTTAACAGGCAGGTTATTAAGTGTAATTAGTCAAGTGATTGTATAATGATGGTTTGTTCTGTAGACAGTTGAAATATATATATATATATATATATATAGCTTAAAAGAGCTAATAATTTTGACCTTAAAATGGCTTTTAAATTTTTTTTAAACTGCTCTTATTTAAGCCGAAATAAAAGAAATAAGACTTTCTTAAGACTAAAAAATATTATCAGACATACTGTGGAAATTTCCTTGCTTTGTAGAACATCATTTGGGAAATATTTAAAAACGAAAAAAAATTCAAAGGGGGGCTAATATTCTGACTTCAGCCAGTTTCTTGTGTGAATGAGTGACGTGAATGTAATTAAAAACTTGTTGTAAATATGGACAGGAAGTGAATTAGTTCTGTAAATTTTGTGCTGTTGTGTTTATTCAAATTACAAACAATATAATCCAGTGCTAAGTCCAAAGGCATTAATGTATTACAGCTAAACTTATGTTACAGTGTTGTCACATCTTCAGAAATGTCAGATTCAGAATAACCATATTTAATAAATTCTGCCTTTAAAAAGATGTATTTTGTTGTCTTTTGTAATCTATTTTAAAAAGAATGAAGAAATATGCAAATCTACAATATCAGACTTTAGTTTTTCATGATCTTTAGTGAATTTATTTATTTATTTCTTTTCTATTAAAAATTATTGATTTTGTAGTGGTAATTCCAAGAAATTTGCAGACAATTTTGCTATCATGTTAGGTCTGCAATTTTTTGGTCTCTTGTCAAGACAAGATCTAAAACAAATCTAAAATGGATTAAGCCAAAGGATGGTTTTATAACTCTTATGTTTATTCATGATTTTTCTCACTGTCAGATTTCACTCCCCAGGTCATCTGACATCATGTACCTCTCTCAGGACATACATTAGTGCTTCTCCTACCGTAATACACTTATAACACAGATTTCCCCAAACATGTCTATGGCAGGGAAGCGTTTTCTCTCGTCAACAGCAGGGAAAGAGTTAAATAAAATCATTTATTGATTTGTCGCACATCATAATACCAGCCAAACATGTAAAGCACAAATTATGTCCTTTAATGCGGTCAAACCCAGCAGCTATCATCCTTGATCCAATCTTCATCATTGTAAGCTGCTTGTTTTTTCTGTCTGTTCCACTGCTCCATTTGTTAGATGTTTGCTCCCACTTTTTTTTGCAGTCTGAAGCACGTCAAATGCACAAAATGCCCATGTTCGCGCCACTCGATTTGCACTGGAGGATGTCTATACGCATCTTTGCATCGACTTCACATGTAAATTACTTGCGCTTCAACCACATCTGCTTACCGCACAGGCTGCAAAACACCCCCTCCCTTCTATTAATGTTAGGATTGTGAGAGCGCAGGTGAGTTGTCATTTTTTGAGAGACACTCAAATACATGACGTGCGCTACGTACATAATGTCTGTAAGTCATGTAAAAGAATTAATTACAGACTGAAATAAATATCATTTGATTAAATGGTTTAGAATTGGATGTTTTATGAGATTATTTACATTTTTTGCGATTTATTTATTGTGAAAATTAGTGACTTTTTGTTGAGTTTGTGTTGGATTTGTCCTGCAGATTTTAGCTCCAACTTGCCTCAACACACCTGCATGGATGTTTCTAGAAAGCCTAGTAAGACCTTGATTAGCTAGCCCAGGTGTGTCTGACTGTGGTTGGAACACTTTGCAGGACACCGGCCCTCCAGGACCCAGTGTGGACACCCCTGATCTAGGGGATCTGTATTATGCACTCAAAAGGGATTTTTGATGCTTGTTCAAACAACATATTGAAACATGGAGAAATATCACAATTCTTGAGACTTTTTTTTGGGGACCTTATTGAATTTACAAATTTACATGGATTTGAAATTAAAGCAGTTAAGTTACCTTAATCGGTTTGTTTTAGGACAACATGAAGCTATTGTGTGGAACCCAGGATTTTTTACAAACTCAAACAAATTATTACTGCTGCTTGTTTAAACTACCGGTTTAAAATGAGCTGAAGTCCACTTACTGTAAATTTCTAAATCACTAATTTAACTTAAGCATTTTGTGGTGCATGGGACAACATGAAGGAAATGTGTTAGTCTAACTACCTGGTTAGTGGATTTGTAGTTCCAAGCATGCTTTATGTGGTGTTGAATTAAGAAAGGGAAATGTTGACAATACAAGTAATATTAGGTGTTTAAAGTTAAGAAAAACTTGTTAGAGTTTA